GCGTCGAAGAAAACTCTCCAAAAAAGACGCCGTCCAACCTTTGTTCACTCTCAGTCGGATGAAATAGGAGACTCCAGCGAGACTGGGTTTCTTCCAAATTTGCTACCCCAAGAGTCTTCAAATGTTGATGAATTAAACTCCTCGGGACTATGACAAAAACACAGAAAGACGACTGTGCCCTCTGACTCATCTAATCTCATCCACATGGTTTGGATTCGACTCGTCCATGTTTGACTCGTTTGATTCACCTCTTTGCGCGTTTTCTTCGAACGCCATGCACCACCCTGCCGGATAGCCAGTGAGTGCGCCACGTGTGCCACACGTGACGGGAGGAGTGCGCCTGGTGGACAAGCTCTCAGGGCCCCGGGCCTCCAATGTGATCCGCATCGAGGAGGGGATCCCACCCAGCACGGGAAGGGCCCAGCCGGTGGCGCGGTCGGTCGTGCGCGCTGTCGACGTGCTCAGTGCGTGTTTGGAAGAAACATGAAGAAAGCCAGTGAAAACCAAGAAAGACCTCGGGTTTCAGCTGCCTTCTTCAGTATATGTGGCCGGACTTTGGAGTCCCTCTTGGTGACCGAACAGGCCGAACCAGTCTAGTGACCACGGCTCATGTTCGGTCACCCTGGGATCAAGTTCCCAGCGAGGTGATCCGCGCCCAAGTTTGTCCAGCGCTCTATATATTTAGGCGATTTAGGTCGTCGCTGTCAATTTGAAGACTTGCTGTCGGGTCATTAAGGACAAAAGATGAGTGTTGAACATGACTTTCCAAAAGGGTTGAATAGGGTCATTAATGGTCATTAGGTCTTTGCTGAATTTTGCCTTCGCGTCGGCACTAGAAGACCCTTGCTGGCCTTTCAAAGTCGCTGATGAACCCTTCCAAAAATTATTCCACTGCTACACAATTGTACGGACCAGCTCTGGGTCCAATTCCTTGTCCATTTCGAACCTTCAAAGCCACAGGGACTTCTCACGATCACAGTGACCATGGCCTCGCCCCGATCCTCCTCCTCCTTACGCCTGAGACGAAGACGATTCGGTCCCCACGTGGTGTTCTTTCCGCGTTGCGTTTGACTCGCCAAAGTTCAGTGCCTGGTGCAAACCCATGTACCTGTCTGCCTGGGCCTATAGTGCACGGCTGCACGCCTTCCGCAGGAAGATGTTGTTCCCCCCCAAATAAGATGAAACGTCCAAAGTAAACGGCTCGGTTTCTTCCGTGGTTTGATTTGAGCACGACGTGGAGGTGTGGTTCACGGAGAACGAGGACAGCCAGGCCATTGGCACCTTGCGAAAGAACGTGGAGAAATGCACCTCAGCTGGGACGCCGACGCCGTGGGGCACGGGCATGCGATGGGCACCGCCGATCTGAGAGGGGAGGGTCGCATGGGGGGAAGTATGAGACACATGGGGAAAGCTCTGGCCCAATGGATTTAAGTTTGTTTTGTGAGTTTTGTGAGATGAAAACAGAGGTTTAGGATTGATACATCGTGAGTAATTATTCTTTGCACCGAGTGTGTACTTGAACTCTATAAGTCTTGGCTACTTGACGCAGTTCTTCTCAAACATGGCAGAAGAAGGAGAAGGAACAGGTAAAGGCAAAGGAAGGTCTGGTACCACCTCAGCCTGCAGTTGCGGCTGCCAGCCGGAGCAAATCCTGCGAAGCCAGCACCTCTTTGCCCCCGGTGCTGGACGATGCTTTTGGCTCCTGTGGCTGGCGCTGGCGGCGCTGGACCAGCTGGTGGTCCTGCCGGGCCACCGGGGTGCTCCTCCAATCGCTATTCTGATTAGACAGCTCCTCCCTCGAACTGATATTCCACGGCAATTCACCTGGACTCAGGTCACATGGATTCTTAGTTGGCACTTTGTCTTGCTTGTGACTCACATCTTCTCAAATCTGAAGACAGATTCTGCCGATGAAGCTCGTTGACATGGGCTTGGCCTTCAAGCTGTGCAACAAAGATCAACACAGGACAATTGCGACCGCTGTCAGATTCAGACATCCTTTTCTGGCACATATATGCTGCGTATGGCGAACAAAGTTCTTTAGCATTGAGTATGCGAAGTTTCCAGCACACATCCGTGGTCGTTTGAACCAGTTCGTGATGGAATAGGAGCACGTATCATCTCCATGCTCAGCACTGTCTTTGCAAATGTGAGTCAGTACCCTTCGATCGACCTGTCTTGCCGAGCTTACATCGAAATGAGAGAGCTAGTTGTTTTTGACTCCCGGGCCACCATGCGGAACATGGAGTCTTTTTAGACAGGTAATGTAGACTCTTGATTAATAAGCCCTCCCATTTGAATTGGACATGCTCTTCATATTATGGGGGGTTGTTAATCAAGAGTAAGCTCAATTGATCTCAATTGCTTTGGATGATTAAGCTGTCCGTTGACATTGCGCTTATGTGTTATGCTGATGCCATGAACGAAGCCTGTTCAATGCATATGTTTCACCGGACTGGACATTCCATCTTCGCATTAAGAATTGAACTACAAAATTGTTGATTGATATACCAGGAGTCACAAAGGGGTGTCCAATGAAGTACCCCACACTACCTATAGACTTCCATTGGGCACCCCTTTGTGACTCCTGGTATGTGTTGTTCTTTGTTCACGCTGATGTTCTTTTTGCTTTCTGTTTACTTGTGTCGTCGCTATTCAAGGAACACATCACAGTCAGCATTGCAGCATCATCAGCATAGATCTACTGAGCGGTCTTGACATGAAAATTGGAAGATCCTTTCACGGAACTCAAATGTATCAGTAGAGAAATGGTGACATCCGTTTCAAACCTTTTAGGGGATAGTCTTCTTCATCTTCAGCATCCTCAGCTCCAACATCTTCTGATGTTCGAACCCTGCGAACAGAGCCGTGTAGGAGTTCGATCCGTTTGTAGCCCCTAATCTGTTTGTTGGGTTGTTTTCCCAAAGCTTTCCACATCCACTCGTCTCGTTTATTTGATGGGCCTTTTTGTTTTGCTTTTTCGAGTGTTAGTGTTCGTGGAATGAGCCCTCCGGCCTTCTTTGAAATCATTAAAGACATTGCTTAGGATATGATATGCTTTTTGTTAAGGGTCAGGCCATTTACTCCAGGATGCTCCAGGGTATTTTTTTGTTCATTGAGACTGATGTGTAGCAGTGTAGCTTTTTCATCAAGGGTGACTGATCCTCCAAGGCATGCATCCTGTAACTGGAATGCTCCTTCATACCCCTGATGTAGCAGGAAGTTTATGGTTGCAACATTGAAAAAACATCTCAGGGCTTGGCCAAGATGTTTTGAACGTATTTGCGGAAACCAGAAACCAATTGTTTGGAGTGATTTCATGGTTGATTTGAAGCATGGCCTCCGCGATCTTCACGACTTATAGTCTATAGACGAGCGGATTGCGGAAACCCACCAAGTGATCTGAGGGATGAATTTGGATCAAGTGGTCGGTGTGGATCCTTTCACCCTTCTTGAAGAAGCTGCATAGTTCAACGAATGTCTTTGCCAGAAATCCTACTTCCTCCAGTGTTTTTCACCTATAAAACTCAACTATTCAACACACCTTTTGCCGCCAGACTCTGGACCATCTCCTTTTTCTGGAACAGGATCTCTTCAGGGACGAACCGAAGAGACCGAACGGTCTGACCGAACGGTCTGACCGAGGCATGGCGCACAAGCTGGACGGGGCTCATGGCACGGTACGCGGCACGGGCGCTGTTCCGGAGACCGCGTTCACGCGTTCGTTCGTGTGTTCGTTTTTAAAGATAAGTTGAAGTGTGTCGAAATGCGTGACTGGTACGTAGTCTAACTGTTTAATGATGCGATTGCAACCTGAAAACAGCGGAGTGGGAGCGTTGTACATGTTTGTTTCAATCGGTGGGAGGGTCCTATAGTTTTGCGTTTGTCCTCTTGCTTGTAAGAGTACGTAAACATGAAACACTAGTTTTGGAGAAGGGCCTTTACTTGACCATCATCATCTACTTTGATCCTGCATGGTGGTAAATGGACCCAAACTCCAGGAGTCACATAAGATGTCGGGGTGGTGTGGTTGGTGTGACACGTCCCATCCAGTGAGTGGATGTGCTGGGCACCCTTAACCTCCATGAAGGACTGCTGGTGATAAGGTATTTTCAGTCTCCACGTCCGATCGCATGCACTCCGATCGTGCGCCTCTCCCACCTCAAAGACCCCAGATGCGGACTTTCAAGTCGGTTTCTTTCGCTGGTCCCACGCACGTTCTGCGCGTCGCTGCGCGGGCCTGCGAACGTTCGGGCTTGATGCTGGTCCACGACGCCCGTCGGCGACCGGGGGGGTGGTTGAAATGGTGAGAACCGGTTTCGAGGTCTTCGGCCCACCGATCCGGAGCCGGGCCGGTGTGTGTCTTTTGTCGTAAATCGGCCATGAGAGGTGGTCGCTTGGCTTGGACAGTTATGGTGGTCGCTTGATCAATGGCCGTGAAGGTCTAAAAAGGCAGATCAAGCATGAAGACTCATGAAGGTACAATATCTCTTTAAATGGGGAGACATTCTGTGCTGCTGAACGGCTGAGAAACCAAAGGTCGGCTGCTTACACCGACTGTTTGAACCTTTTAACACTGGGCATTCTTAGCACCCGACCGTTGTGGCTTCAGCTTGGAGGAATAGACCACATGGACCATGGACCGCATCGGAGAGTATAGCTGGACACATCGACCAGGACCGAACTAGCATGAAGAGGCACCTGAACAGCCGTTTCTGTGACTGCGGACGGGTCAAAACATGTTGGTTTTGCAGGCACAGGTGCCATCGGGGTTCTTTTTGACACACCTTTTGGGCTGAAATTCCCGACGGACGGACTGGACTGCCCAGTACAACCAACAATTCCCAGACAGAGATGATGTGGCACGCAAAAATGATTGGACCCTTTCCACAAATCTACAGATTCTTGTGAACAAGTACAGCTCCAAAGCCTGAAAACACTGGCCACTCCCATCCAACCCCCATCCGCTCTGCTCCCACCCAGCTGCACCCTGACCTTCCATGGCCCCACCCTTGGCGCGCGTGGCGGCGGTGCTGGGCACGCTGGTGGAGGGCGCCAAAGTCGAGTGCCTGGGCGGCCTATGGGAGGTGGAGGTGGGGGCCCTACCTGTGACTTTGCGATGTGTTTCTGAACTGATTTGACCTGGACAAAGACTCCTGTGAGGGGGTATTGCCCCCACCACTTCCCCCCGCCCCTGTCAGCAGACTCGGTTGGACCCGGTGGTCTTTCAGTGGCAAGGAGCCGTCAGATCCACTGTGGTAGAAGTTGGAAGTCGACCAGAGAGAGAGGGAGAGAGAGAGAATGATTCCATGAAAAGTCCAACAGGGGTTGAATCGCTTCAAACTCACATATGTCAGGTTGTAAATTATTGCAGGAGGAGCATGTCCGTTGCTACTGACCGCTATAGCCCTATATTGTGGCATGTGTTCACTGCAAGTCGTGCATGCTTATTGTGTGAGAGGAAGAAGATCAGAGCCTTGGCTACTGGAAACAAGGAATCCTGGGTTTGATGACAAACTGATGTTGTTCCAAAAGTAGTCAGTCATCAATAGGGGATGATGAGTGGGGTGATGTTACCCCATCAACTCAGATATCAACTAAATCACATGCAGATTTGAGCTTAAAATGAGCAAATGTTCTGCTGAAATCCGGACTTCGCAGTGGAAATCCGACTTCCTGCGGCTGCGCGCGGAACGGAACTGGAACCGAGGTACTGGCAGAACTGTGCCGCCCGAGGGCTCTGTGATACGCTTTTCCACCTGCGCACGGATGCAGCAGTCCATCAGGCACCTGCAGGCCGTGAAGTCCGTCGGGGCCCGGCCGGACCGAAGAGGAGCGGGCCGGCCTCAAGGGCGAGGGATGATAGAAACATGATTGAGGGCCGTGTGGCGTCAAAAGCCATTCTCAAGCCATGGTCTTGGAAGCCTAGGGCCTAGGGTGTGTGGTTCCATCCAATAACCTTCCGTGGTGCCCTTGGTATAGAATGAGTCGATGTTTCTCCCCCCCCAAATGCCTGAACATCTCCATGTGCAGTGTCCTTATGGTCCTGTTGGGTGCTCATATCCTGTGCAGAGTTCTTCCATGGCACCGGTTTTAGGTGCTCCGGGCGATGCCCAGCAGATCGCAGGAATGGCAAGGAAGGGGCTGCCCTTGGCGATCTGTACCTTTGGTCCATTGAACTTACATCCTGGTACATCTAGTGATCTAGTGTTTATACTGTGGCAATTGTATCCACATGGATCCACGGTTGTTTGCAGCACAGCCTTTTTGTGGGGGGGGTTTTCCCAAGCAAAGCAAGTGTGTTCCGTGGTTGCACGTTGGATTGGGGGATGTCAGAGTGAGGAAATACACATCACCTATAGCCACCTGACCTAGGGGCTGATTGGTGGTCAGGGAAGGCTTAGTGGTCGCTGCTCTCAACCCTTTCAGTTGGTTTTAGTGACTTAGTGTGGGATTTTCCACCCAACTGTGCTTTGCAGATTATATGTCATATTGTTTTGCAGAAAAGGGATTGGACTAGATACTGAATTCTGTGGAGCGGGCACCTTCAAACGGCTGTTGACTGCTCTCTTTTGAGGGAAGTCTCAGCCACCATCCCGGTTGTTGGGAACATGACTATAATACCCACCAGGATCATCTTCCTGAACCCTTGAAAGTGCAATAATTTCTGTACGTTTGGCATTTCTATCCTTTTGGGCCGGTTGGAACACTTCAATGCCAATCTAAACGATTCAAGCCAAAACTGTACACTCCAAAGCAAAACTGGACGTTTTCTTAAATGACTCCCACCAGCAAGCACATCTATGCTTGGTGCATGATCACCTATGTACGAATCTTTGAGCCATACGAGGAGTTGATCAAGAGTTGTACGATACAATATCATGACTTCGGCTCTTTGAGTGTGTAGTACACTTCTAGCCAATTGCCACCCTGGGTACTTGTCAACCTACAGGATATGGTGAAACTTCAAGATTGCCGTATGTGGCAAGCATTCACACTAGTTTGCTCCATCCCACGAGCTCCAGGTCAAATCTTCTCATGATGGTAGGCCACTAAATTGCTAAATTTGAAACTGCACAGAAATCCCACTTTGTGCACTCTTGCGGGGTTTTGCGTACTTTTTGCGGATATTTGCGTATTCTTTGCGGATATTTGCGTACGGTTCTTTTGTGGTTGTGCAGGGAAAAGTGTGACCATGTATCAAATATATTGAAAGCAATAGTATATTGAATCCACACCAAAACACATGCATATGGCATGTGGGATTTCATTTGGCAGCTCATTGACAGATCATGATGGATCTATATAATTATGCCAAAGAAACACCAAGTTAGGTGTCAAAATCTGTGACACGATGGACAGGTGTAAAAAGAATTGATAAGCATGGATTTGCACATCTATCGTCGATTGTGTTTCTTAAGAGGTGATTCTACAATGGAGATCATGCGTATCTTGAAGCCAAGCATGGAGTGGTGAAGAATCTGCTCTTGATATATGATCTTGTCCTCCACTCAGTGATTTCTTCACGTTTGGACCAACTGGAACATTCAGCCCGCTTTTCAGGATTTGCGGCTTTTTGCGTCTTTTTGCGTTCACAAACCCAACAGTTCAAAAATTAGTAAACTCTTCAGGGTCCAGGTTGTTTGGGTGTTCAATGAACTACCCTACACATCCCTATCCGGGATCTCCAGCCAGGACACCCAGATGGCCCAGACGGACAGGATGTCCAGATAATATAACATAGTAATATGTTTGAACGAAGCTTCAGCTTCTTCACTCAGATGAGCCAAACCCGTGCAATGAACTCCACCATGGCGCAGGGCCCCTGCAGGGATGGAAGATTGAGGTCATGTTCGGTCTCATGATGTGCAATTCCATGTGTTTTTTCTCAACCAGTTGAATGCCTTTCAAGCAGCTTACAGCTCCCTAAAATATTAATTTAGACGTGGAACATGGACCGTTGGATGACCATTAAACAATGACAATACGTATTGTTTATTTGGTGTCCACAAAAAATCCGTCACCAGGGTGTTCTCTTCCTCTCTAGCCGGCACCGTGCTGGCAGGTGCACCGAAAGGCCATTGGAAACCCTTGGGCCATCCGGACTTTCTGGAGACCTGGGATGGCGAGGCGGTCAGTTGCGAGACCTCGAGCCCGGCGTGGCGTTTGGAAGGATCCTGGGGAGGATGGAAGACCGGAAGTGCGGGAGCTTTAAGTGGTTTGGAACCACGAACTACTCCAAAATGCAAGTATATAATCCATGGGAATGCATGCACGGAAACATTACATACCTGGATCTTCCAACTATAAGACTATAAGCATGTGTTTGTGGCCTTTTCATCCATAAAGCCCACCAAAAAGGCAGACATGTTGTATAAAGTTGGAAGATCCTGGTATGGATGCCCACCCAACCACGGTCACCTTGGTCGTTTGGAACCACTGCAGGTGGATCGCTTCGACGTCGCTCCGACCCCGGAGCTCTTTTGGACCAAGTACCATGCGGAGCGAAGGCCCACGGCGTGGGATGAGTCTGACAGATGTGAGTGGGATAAGAACCTGAAGAGACCTGGTTCATGACTGGGATGGATGACCTTTGATGGCAGCTGGATACAGCTGAGTGCGAGAGATACTGGCAGATGGGAGCTGGGGGATGAGGATGTCCGAATGACTAGGGATGAAGTGGGATGAAGTAGTTTCTACTTGGCGATGTTGGGGATTGAACGGCCCTTCCCAAGCAATCCAAACGGTGTCATATTGCAAGGGTTTACCAAACTGGGAGAAGTCTTCTGTGATAGGGTGCCTCCTTGAGACCTCACTGATTCCTTATTGAGGGATTGAACTACTGGACGGAAGCTACCAAGGATTTCTCCCAGTATATATAGTAAGTATTGTAGTGAAGAAGATTTGGTGTCAGCCACTTGGTAGGTGGGAAGGCTTTTGTTTCATCTTGTTTGCTTCAATCGGCCCATCTACCGTGGCAACCCACGGCTTGTCCCAGTTTGCTGCATCGGTTGCCCATCTGCTTTTCCTTCTGTCGTGACTCGCTGAGATGGGCTGTCATGAAAGTCCCATGGGTTTCTGTGGCGGAGACATCCCTTCATGATCCTTCATGGGCTCTTGTGTTCGTGTGGCCCTTGGGGGTTGGGGCTCTTCCTGTTCTAAAACATATGAAAAAATGGTGTTCGCGCTGCAGGTTTTGTCAGGTGGCACCTCGCTTTCATGGCTGAAAATATAGAGAATCTAGGGGTCAGGGCCAGGGCTCCCAAAATATACAGAGTCTACGGCCTAGGGGTCCAGGTCCGCATTTTATGTCTATAAAATCACGACCAGGACCCCCCCAGTGGTCTTGTAACATACATCATATGAATCACATGAATCTATCCCAAGGTCTTGTTCCATCCCCAAGCCTCTTTTTGGGATCGACCCACTCTCCAGATCGTCACTCTGGGATCGCCACAGGCCTTTTATTGTGAAGGGCGCCGTGCTGGATTCCCCTGCCATCAACTGGACTGATCAGCCACCTGATCAGCAGAAAAAGAAGAGAAGCTTTATCTTCAGAAGCAACTGTTGAGGAGATTATGATATGATATTGTACGATAATATTGATATATGATATTATTACTATATATATATATATATGATTATATGTTTCTTATTATTTTACTATGTTCTTTCGGTTTTTGTGCCATTTGGAACATGGTTTTGTTGCCCTTGTCAGTTGCTGGCGCGACCGGACTGCACGGACTGCGTCTTCGACCGCCGTCTTCAGGTACATCATGGAGCACTTCGGCGATGAGGTGGCGAAGGCGGTGGGGTGGCGCCAAGGGCAGGGCATGGCAAAGGAGAGAGCCTTAATTAAGAGCCTTAATTACATCTTGAGATCAGAGAGAGAGAGAGAGACCAGTTTACATCATCATTTTGCGGTTGACATCAAGCCTTTGCGGCTTTGTAACAGCTTGCATTACGCTGCACTGCCCAAGCAACGATCCCAGTTTGCAGATGAATTACCTGCCTCTTACCAGAGGTTTGCCCATTGGTTTTGTCTCTCATGAAACAGTAGGAACACCGCTAATTACATGACAAATGCAGAATTGAATGGCTGACAAACAGAAGAGGGTCCTGCAGCTGTTTCTCGCTGCCGTTCTTTTTGTCAATGGGTTTGGGAAGAATTATTGAGCCCTACGCAAATTATCTGTATGTCAATCATTGTCAAGCTATATTTGTTTAAATCCGCAAGAACATGCAAAACCTACACCAGAAGACCCAAAAAGGAAACACGTGCGAACCTAAGGAGACCACCTTAGATCCCAAAGAGTCAAGCTGCCCAGAACTAGCCCCAAGTCGGGAAAACGGCTGCAGGTGGAATGGCGGAATGAAGATCGCCTCACAGACTACTGCGGGCAGAGCATCAAGGGGAAATTCATCCATTGTCCCAAGGCCAGGAAGTCCATCCGATGGTCAGGTGACGGTCAGGTCACGGTCAGGTGACGAGAAAGGAGCACCCCATGGGACACTCCAGGAGACCCATGACACCGGTTCATCAGCTCCTCAAGAGTCGAACTGACAGCTTTAACTTGATCAGCTCCCCGGTCATCCTCCCGGTTTATGGCACGGGTCCACTTTCCGGTTGATCAGAAAAGCTTTAACTGACGGAAAGTGGACCCCCTTGCCGGGTGTCGCTGCGGCTGCTCAGGTCGTGGCCGGGGGGGATGGGTCGTGCTCACCTGAGAAGTGAAGTTCGCCGGTTCAGGGTCGTTCTAGGTCCATCAACTGGTCTTCTCTAGAAAAGGATAGGCTTCAGAAGATCACAAAGTATTCAAAAGCAGTCTACCGTCTACCTAGCCAGGGCCAGGGGGGTCTTCCTATATAACATACACGGCCATATAAGGCCATAAATCAAAAGTCATTCAGGTCGAAAAGAACTGGGCAAACTAAGGCTTCAATCCCAAAAGATCACCGTACTGCAGGAATGCAGACGTTCAGGGCTGGATTCTCTTGGCCTTAACACTTTGATAACCGGCAGACTTCAAAACAACAGTCAGGTTCTTCTTTCTTTCGCCCTTGCACCACTCTTGCAAAAGAAACCAAGTGCTTCAACATGCTTCAACAGTCTTCCCACACCCTCTGACGCATGGGAGACGACCCTGAGAGCTGAAGCAACACCCCAGCGACATTGGCCACCTGTCCAGTCGACTCCACGCAGGATACGATCCCCTACGTGGAGTCCAGAACGAGCCTCTTGGTGTGGAGAAGATTGAGCGACCATGTGTTGGTCAACACCATTTACCAACCATTTACACAACACCATTTACCACCCCTAGCCATTACCCTAGCCGTAGCTATGCTCAACACGCGATTAATGTTGCCAATGTTGTCCAAAAATGTTGCTTTTGTCCTGCAAATGTGCAAATCAGGTGCTGGTTCACGGGTGTTGTTGAGTTGGTGGCACAAACACTTGCGCTTGACCCTAAGGCTTCTACTAAGTACGACCTGGATCCACCAGCACCCATCAGCACCAGATATTCCATTATGCTTTTTGATTTGCACGAGGCCCCCCCCGTTCTGTGGTCATGACCATGACCCACTGCCGCGGGTGTCGCTCCACGATCGCCGGTCGCCACGGGTGTTCCCCCGAGGCATTCGGAACTTCATCCGGCAGAGTTCGAAGGACCCGAACTGGGTCACTGGGCAGACACGTCCGGCACTGCTCGTGCCGGACGTGAGATCCGGATAGTAGACGTTCACCGAAGGTTTTTGGAGATGGTGGGTGCTGTGCTGTGCTGTGTTCGGTTGACCCGACGTTCTCAGTGACCCCGAATCGGGATCCCGAAGCGGCTGGAAAAACGGAGCATAGTGACCTTTTCAGACCCGGGTGTCGTGCAGAGTGAAGGGCCGGGTGTGGCATGGGGGTTTATCTGGCGGCTGGCTGAAGATGGTGAAGCATGCCATCTCAAGAATCTTGAAAGCTCGCTTTGGGGTACCTGCCTGCATATTTACACCTGCCATCCCCTGCGTGATTTCTGGAAGTGTCTTGGGAAAAGCAGGCGCCGGTCAGAGTGTCAGAAACTTCTGGAAGTGTCTGGTAGAGGAGTCGCTCCTCATCGAATCACCTCATTTTGTACAGCTAGTAGAAACAATAAGCTACTAGTAACAAGTGCATCGCTACTAGTAACAAGTGCATCGCTACTAGTAACAAGTGCCTTACTAGTAGTTTCTTTCTTTGGAGGTGATGAGATGATCTCGAGAGCTCAACGGCCCAGGCGAAGTACATCATCTCCCAGATGCCCGACGCCATGGGCAAGGCGACCTTCATGTTGCTTGTGTTTGTTGTTGTTTCATTTTTTTGGTCGTTTCCCATATGTTTTTTTTTTTTTTTGCTTTGTTTTTTGCTAGAGACAACATGTATTGGGTTGAGTGGATTTAAGGGTGGTGAATAAAACCACCTGAACACCTCCAAGCGTGACCTGTGGGGTTTTCTGTCACCTGAACACCGGCGAACAGGAGCAAGTTCCTGATTTGGTACAGTTGATCTAGGACTCTATGAAATGGGGAAAACTCACAAAGACTCGAAAAGCAGGGGAGTCCATGGACCCATCAACATCCATCAACCCATGTGATATCATGTGATACAATTCCATCAACCATGTGGTGCCTCACTTGGGCCCACTTGCCTCACACTCGGAATGGTTGAGAAGCGGATTCGGGTCCAGTGCAAGGACTGGAAAGTTCCTGGGTTCTTCAATTGCGGCAAGCGCTTCGAGGGTGACAAGATGAGAGGGAAGCAGCTGTGCAGCAGATGAGTTTGGAACGCCCGTCGTGCACATCAGAAGCTGGAAAAGAGTGATTATGACGTCCAAGACGATTACTGTTGATCATCGCACTTCATTCTCGCAGGGCGTTGGACATAAGCTGGACTTCGCCTCAAGATCAGGTCTTTGCTGGTTGGATATTTGTTGGGAAAGTGGGTCCGGTTCGGGCTGTTCGTGATGCTAACCGAGCTGTATTAGAGCCTGCTTCATTTCAAAATAAGCGCTCGATTGAGGTCCAGACGGGAAATTTGACAGGCAAAGCACTTGGAAGTTGTCACGCTAGTGGGAGTTGTGTTTGGGTGTGTTTGGTTTTGGTCAGAAGTTGGTTTGCGCAAGCATTAGTAGTGAGTGATGTGTCAGGTTGTCGCTGTTCGCAAAGACTAAAATAGCTAGTAAAGTAGTCACAGGGTGGGCGTGGGATAGGACACCTGCATGCAACCTCCATGGGGGCGACCACCCATCTACCAATGCCCCTTATGCAGATATACCAGTAGGTATACTACCCTCTGACTCTGACTCACTTATATAACATGGAAGTGGAAAGCCACCTGCTTGTAGAGGAAACGGGTCATCCCAGTGGCCATTGTCCATGTCCATGCGAACGTGAGTCGGAGTGTACCCCATATGCAAAACCTGTATCACCGCCGTGGGCCGACCCATGAAAAAGGTGACGAACCACCACGAGCAAGTCTACCTCGGCTTTGCTCGGCCATTTCCGCTCGTTCCCGCACAAGCAACATGTTTCTTTTCTTAGGTGTTTTTTTTCTGTCTATTTCATAATATGTGGCGGTCATTATTCTTGAAACACGGCTGATTCTTTGATTGACAATCCGGGGAAGAGCCTGTAGGAGTGCATCGTTTGAACTGATCATGTAATATTATATATATAGAGTAGTTATATAAGTTTTTACATTAGCTGGCCTTGATTGCGTGTCAAACAGCTGTCCTACCACTAAAAAAAACTGAAAAAAAAACAGCTTGTGCGCAGTTGCTTGTCGTGTATTTTTAAAGGTTTTTTTTGTTCAGGCTCAATGCAATGTTTGTTGTGCAGTTGAGGTCGAACATATTGTGTTGTTTTTTTCAGGATGACAGTGCATGCACTGACACCAAGCTACTAGCTTGGACTGATTTAAGGCCCTGGATGACTCAGATGTAGCTGGGATGCAAGCCGCCCTGGATGACTCAGCGTGGGGATTCGGGAGAGGGAAAGTTCAAGAAAAGCTGTTGTTATGTAATTTGCAGCCTCAGTGTGGGAAGGTGATATATTTACTACCTCAAACGACGCACCTGCAACGACGCAGCAAGACCAAGAAAGGGCGCACAAATTGGGGAAGACGCTGATCTGTCGATCTTCACCTCGGGCAGCTGGTGTTTCAGAGTGCTGAGAGTGGTCCGTTCCGCAGAAGTCAGACTCGGGTGTCCCTTTGGAAAGGAATTATGTGAATCCTCAGATTTGCCTTGTCAAACATGTCATCCGCAAATTGAGCGACCATCCTGTTTTTGAGGGGACCAGCATGCACAGTGTTGATCAATTTATGGGTGACGTTGAAACCTTTGCTCTCTCAACAAGCTGTCGCAATTCGGACACCGAGACCATATCTATCTCTTAAAGCAATCATTGGACCAACCAAAAAGGACCCCCGATCCCAGCCCTGAAGGTCTTTCAAGCCCGTGCAGCTCGGGGGGGGGTCCACGGTGGAGTGATGTGGACACATGTGTTCTGTTTTGTTTTTGTTGTTTGCAGTATGGAAAGCAGTGTTTGCTTTGTGTTTTTTGGTTCGTGTCAGTGTTTTCCGAGTTGTTCTTCAACTCTGTTAAACTGGACACGTCATCCGAAACCCTGATAATGCATGTGTCATCAACAGACAATCGATACATGCATCAAAAAATGTTTTCCTGACATGAAGAAACAGAGTACCTTACATGACCATTGAACAGACATTTGTTGGTATCACGCATGGTTTTGACCTCATCCCATGCTTTCTACTGTGTTCATGGGTAGAAGAGCGTGTCAGTGATCCAAACCGCTGACGCCTCCCATCTTCACTTGCTCAGCGAAATATGTTGCAGCAAAGCAATACCAGCGTTCTGGCCATTGCAGTCTTTGGCTGCTTTGAGAAGTGAACATACAAGTTGGCTGCTTGCTCATATGGTATGGCTCATTTGTTCAGGAATAGCCAATAGTCAATATTGTTTGCCATACTCACTTCTTCAGTTGTTCTCGGGCTTCGCTTGGTTCCTCAAACACAGCGATGACGTCAGGTATGAGAACAACTTCTGGTATCTTCGTGTACCTCCACAGAAGATGGGCACCTCCACGATCCATTACGCCCGGGGCCCCGGTGCGGTGGGGGCGCAGTGGGGGCGCAGCAGCGCAGTAGCTCGGGACATAGTAGAGATGGCCGAGATAAGATGGCCCACATGACTGGTGGTTTGTTGATGTTTCTTTGGCTTTAAGTATTTGAGAGTATTTGGGTACTGAATGTGTAGATCTCGGTGGTGGCGGTTGTAGCAAAAAGGGCCATGGGACCGGAGGGTGAACACGGGGCAACGGAACGACGGTAGGAGTCCAAGTCTGAAACGCTGAAGCCAACACGCCCATCCTGCTTCTCTTGAGAAACTGGGGCGCCCGAATGTCAAGTCGGAATCAGAACTGAACAACGCAACCAACGCTTTTCTTGAGCTGAAGGGACTGGGACTCAAGAAAGGACTGGAGGCTCATTTGAAGGGAAGCTGAGCCCCTTAGCTGAGCCCATTGACAGTGTCATTTGAGAAAAAAACACACCCTTAGCAGAAGATCTTAAGGACAGGCGGGAGATGTTCTTTTTTTTATGCGTTTCCACCACAGTTGGCACCAGTTGGTGCAGAATGGTGATGCAGAGATTTTTCAACTGGGTTCTGGTTGGTCATGCTCGAAGTCTGGGTCGAACGAACAGCCACAGCAGTCTGGGTGTTCCCAAGACCTCAGTCCTCCGGCCACGCAGCGATCACGCAGTCCATGAGAACCGCAGCCGTCGCCGTTCTGTGAGAACCGCGTCAGAGAGCGTCACGTCCGAGTCAGTGAGCAGAAAGGCCGACAAATGGTAGATGCAAAAAGGCAGACAACGGTTACATGAACATGAATTCACTCCTTAGCCTTAGCAACAGTTTTAGACCTATACTCACAAACCTTCTTTCGATTCTTCTTTACACTGGAAAACACCAGTGGCCAGAGGATACTTTGATTGGGAGACGTTAGACATCGTCAGGCTGTGACCGAAGTGTCACGAAGGCCAGGCCCTGTGACCTCCGGTCACCAGTACCGAACAGTCGATGATGGTAGTGTCTCAGACGAGGGTGACTCATCTTCACCAGAAACTCAAGGAATATACGACCTAGTGGTCCCTACAAAAAATGTATTGGAAACCGTGCCACTATCTATATGTTGGAATCACATCAAACATGTCAATCTCCAGATGTCAATCTTGACTCCTCACGTTTCCTTTCACAAGTCCACTCCCAATCAGTAAAAACCAAGTGGAAGAAGGGCATTTCCGCATACAATTCCGAACCCGCTTCCCGGACCATGGCTTCAGCTGCGCCAGCCATGGCCATGGAGATTTCATTTACGCAGCTGAACGGTGAGAAGCTGCTGCTTCAAGTCATGCCAGAGATGACTGGTCGGGAGCTCAAGCGTCAGCTCAATGAGCAGCTGCTCAGGCTGAATGACGAGCTCACACGTCGAACGACTCGGGTGGAAGTGATTCTTGCAGACAGCAAGTTGTTGGAGAATGATGAGACACTTGCAGAGGTGGGCCTTTCTCCAGATTCTGATGTGACGGTAGTGCTTAAAGAAAACAAGGTGGTTTGCTCGAACAAGAACCAGCTCCCGGATTCTGTCAGTTATTTTGATTTTCACTCTTTGTATGCAGTTGAAATCCCAAGCGACGAAGCTAAGATTGTGTCAGATGCTTTTGAAACTTGCATCATTGTGGCCAAGATCATCATTCCCGACTCAGTGACTCACATAGGGGATAGAGCTTTCATGGACTGCAGGTTTTTAGCGAGTGTGACCCTTTCTGATTCTGTCACTCACATTGGAGCTGGTGCCTTTGCAAACTGCGAGTCTTTGCCAAGTGTGACCATTCCTAAGTCTGTGACGCTCCTTGCGGATGGCGCTTTCCGATTTTGCTGCTCTTTGGAAAACGTCACCTTGTCCAGCTCCGTCACTCACATCGGTCATGGGACTTTCAAGAGATGTCGTTCCTTGACAAGTATTAGCCTTCCCGACTCTGTGGTCTTCATTGGGGCTGGTGCCTTTGAGGGCTGCATCTCTTTGACAAGCCTGGCTGTCCCCGAGTCCTTGACTGAGATCCCCAACGAGGTCTTCCGGAACTGCAGCTCTTTGGTCACGGTGATCTTGCCAGAGTTGGTGAGCACCATTGGTCTCAGTGCTTTCAAGGACTGCCGCACTCTCGCAAGTGTGACCATCCCGAGCTCGGTGATTTGGATTGAGGATAGTGCCTTCGAGGGCTGCAGTTCCTTAGAAAGCGTCAGCATACCGGACTCGGTGATCCACATCGGTCACGGTGCTTTTAAGAAATGCAGCTCATTGACCAGTGTGACTCTCCCAGTCACGGAGTCCTCTGTCTCTTATATCGGAGTCAGTGCCTTTGAAATGTGCAGTTCTTTGGCAAGGATTCATCTCCCGGACTCCATCACCCACATTCAACTCTCATCCTTTGCTCAATGCTCGTCTTTGGAAAGTGTGACCATCCCCGACTCCGTGATGCGTATTGAGGCTGGCGCATTTGCAGGCTGCAGGTCTTTGGCTAGTGTGATCATTCCGGACTCCGTGATTTACATAGGATCTGGTGCATTTGCAAAATGCAGCTCCTTGGCTACTGTGACTCTCCCCAACACAGTGGAACATCAGATTGGGGCCTTCGATACATGCACAGAGATCAACATGAAGCCTGCGCAGAGTGATGACGACGGTGAGTACGCGCCAATGTGCAAACTGCTGAGCTAGATATATATATGGCTGTGGGTCATGGCACCCTGATAATTCCCACCTTCACATGAACGGAATGGACTAGACACCGGGCCGACATGGTCAACGCCTAGGGTGATGACCAGGGCTCCAGGCGGACTCTCAGCCTTACCGTTGGATCTGTCCGACACACCGTTGGACCTTACTCCTGGCGCGACGCACAGGTAGGTTCGACGCCGTCGGGTACGGTTCCAGGATCAGAATCCCTTCGAGCTTTCGAAAGATGAGAAGGACATTCCATATAAGGAAAAGTATTTTGTCCGTGAAGTACTTGGCTTTGAGATTGGAGTTCTTTTTTGTTTCGCATGTCGCATCCGAGCCTCAAAGGGATTCCCGGCTTCTTTTGGTCCATTTGTTCCGCCAGAAGGGTGCGGGGTGCAGAGCCTTTCGAAAGATATAGTTTAAAGGTTTTGTGATGTTTTCTTCATGTTGTGCAGTTGAATTTGAAGAACCAGACCTCATATTCCGGGAGAACTAGAGCCTTCTACTTCCACCAGCACAGCTTCGTGACCTGTGGATCGTGACCGACACACCAGTTTCTTCCAACGCCCTTTAGAAGGGTAAAATGGAAGGAGGTTGCACTCTGACGTGACTACCTATCATATGGAAGTGGTTAATTCACAGGCGATTGGTATTTGGCTCCTCGTAATCGCCAAACAATTACGGCACAATGTGGGCAACCTTTTTTTCTTTGTTTTGTTTTGGTGAGTTGTATGGTGCAGCTTTTTTCTTCACTCTTCACGCAATTAAGGAATAAGTCGTAGTAATAGGCTTCTTATTGCGTGGCTTCAGCTGCATAGCCATGGCCATGGAGATTTCATTTACACAGCTGAACGGTGAGAAGCTGCCGCTTCAAGTCATGCCAGAGATGACTGGTCGGGAGCTCAAGCGCCAGCTCAATGAGCAGCTGCTGAATGACGAGCTCACACGTCGAACGACTCGGGTGGAAGTGATTCTTGCAGACGGCAAGTTGTTGGAGAATGATGAGACACTTGCAGAAGTGGGCCTTTCTCCAGATTCTGATATGACGATAGTGCTTAAAGAAAACAAGGTGGTTTGCTCAAGCAAGAAGCAGCTAGCTGACTTTGACAACGAGTTGGACTTGTTATTTCTGGTTGAAATCCCAAGCAACGACACCGAGATTTCTATGAGCGCTTTTGAAAACTGCCACATCCTGGCCAAGATCATTATTCCTGACTCAGTGGTTCACATAAGGGCTAGAGCCTTCATGGACTGCAAGTGTTTGGCGAGTGTGACCATACCTGAGTCCGTGGTCCAAATTGAGGCCGGTGCTTTTTCCAGCTGCGAGTCTTTGACCGATTTATACATCCCCGACTCCGTCACCGAGATTGGGCTGGGCGCCTTGGAAAACTGCATCTCTTTGGCAAGTGTGACTCTCCCGCAAGGCCTGACTCGTATTGCAGATGAGGCTTTCTGGAAATGTTGGACTTTGGCACAAGTGACCATTCCGAACTCGGTGACCGACATTGGGAGCAATGCCTTTGCACGCTGCAACTCTTTGGCATCTGTGACCATTCCAGACTCTGTGATCCACATTGAGCCAGCTGCGTTTGCGAACTGCCCCTCGCTTGCAAGTGTGACCATCCCAGAGTCAGTGACCTGCATTGGCCACGGAGCCTTCGAATGCTGTAGCTCCTTGGCAAGTGTGACCCTTCCCAACTTGACAGAAATTGCCGATCAGACCTTTAGCAAGTGTAGTTCTTTGACAAGTGTGACTATCCCAAACTCAGTGACCAACCTTGGATCTGGTGCCTTTTCATGCTGCACTTCTTTGACAAGTGTGACCATTCCGGACTCGGTGACCCACATTGGGCCTGGTGCCTTTGCACACTGCTTCTCACTGACAAGCGTGACTCTTCCAGAGTTTGTGATCGACATTGGGGATGCAGCCTTTGAAAAGTGCATGTCCTTAACAAGTGTGACCATCCCTGGCTCAGTCACCAACATTGGACTTCGTGCCTTTGCAAAGTGCAGCTCTTTGGCCAGTGTATCCATGCCTGAATCGGTGATCCACATAGGAACCTGTGCCTTTGCTGGCTGTAGATGGTCTCCCCTCACAGCGTTTAGTGAGTTGAGTGACTCTGAGCCATGTGTTTAGCTGCAAAAGACGAAGAACACCTGTTGGTGGAAGAAAGCATTTCTGGAAATGCAGTGGGATATTTTGCAGTTGGGGTACGTTATATATATAAGAGTATACATATATATGTATTTATGTGTTCCAAAGGTTTTTTCTCAGCATAAGACTAGGAGATCGTGTTATGTCCCTCTCCAGTTTGTTTTCCAGCAGAATGTACACTTGTGCAAAAAGCATGGCAGCAATAAATCAGCCTGGAGAAACAAAACAACTACACGCGGGTAATCACTATAATCATATCCCTGTTTTATTTAGTCTTTTGCATGGTGTCCAAAAATACAAATGTACCAGTATTAGAGGCGATCCAAATGAACTCGTTGTTTGCCAGGCAGATGACCACCTGCCCTCGCCATCGTTCAAGAACAGTTTGTTGGGATTGTCCTTTAAAGACAGAAGAAGGAATCTAGAGTCAATTGCATTTGTGTCAATACTGGGCTGTGGTCCAACACTTACCCAGTCAGTGGATAAGCTTCAACCCTTTTAGGGGTGGGATGGTGGGAAAAAAACAAAAACTCACACTAAAACCCACCCACCACCACCCAAAACCACCCAACACGGAACGGAACGGATGGTCTCCCACCTCGGGAGACCCGGATGTGCCACCCTGACGCCACCCTTGATGACCATGTCCTGTGCCAACTTGTGCCAAGTGTTTCAGGACATGAATCATCAAGTGATGTGCAGCTCGGCGCCATCGGTGATGCACATCGGTTCTCGCTGGAATTGGGAGTTCGGACAGCTTCAAAGGCATCGTGATGAGGGCAGGTTTGGGAAGTTATAGCCAATAATATTGGTACACCTTATTTGTCACCCAATGTGCTAAGAGAAACACGGGACATCTTCCTGGGAGTCAGTCGGGAGTGCTTTTGTTTTTCTTAGAAGCTACTGTATATACAGCAATTAAGATAAGTAGCTCGGCTCGACGTACAGTGGTTTGAGAGTAGATGGCACTGGCACCCCAAGATGTCTTAGATGGGGATCCCTATAAACCACCTATCTTGGTGATTGTGCCATCTACTTGATAACCGATTTAGCTACTAAGACGTTTGATTTGTCACAAGATTCGGAAGACTACTTTTGCTAAGACTTCTGATTTAGCTACTAATCGAGATCCGTTTGGGCACGGCACAGTTGCGGCTTCGCCCGCCCAAGGCATGTTTGCCGGGAAGAAGGAGTGGATCATGTGGGACCTGCGGCACGAAGCTTCCAAGATCCCCATGCGCCTGGGCGCATTCAGCAAAGACCGATGCAGAAACGACCACCGATGCATGCGAGTTGTTTGTTTTCTTCTCACCAGACAGATAGCTGCAAGATGCTGCAAGCTATATGGGGTTCTTACTTCTCATTGGTGTGGCTTTGGATCGGCATGTCATTTTTGTGCGTGCGCATGCAGGAGATGAACAGAATTGTTGGCGAATATGTCACTGCAATCGCCACATACCCAAAGTACCGCAAGATACATAGACTTATATAGCTTTGGTAGGTGCAGGACGTCTTCCAACACACGAGTTGGAAGATATGTGTTTGTGTCACTTAAAGTGAAGATATACAAGCTCAGATTTGGTCATGTGGATTTGTTCTTTCTGTTGGAGTGCAAGTGCATGTTTTTGCTATCCTTTATCATTGGTTTTGCCACCAGATTATGGCCATAGCCGCGCATAGCCACAATCACAAGACTCTTTAACTGTCGGATGCATTCGCAATGATTAACATGATGAACTCTAAGCAAAGTGTTTGCCAAGTGAACAAACAGTTTGATAGCACAACCATAAGTTTTTTCTCGGCGACGAGCATTGGAGTGTCAGCTGGTTCGTGATGGGAACTTGTAATAAATCTACGATGTGACAGGGCAGGTGCTTTGTTCCTAATGGAGGCAGACATTGTGAAGTGGAAGTTGCTCGCCCAGCTGACTGGTTTGGCGATACCCAGGTGGAACGAGTACTTCCGACCCAACGGCAGGCCACAAGGCAGGGCTTGCAGCGGGCTTGCAGGTGTTCCCGCTGACATGCAGATCAGAAGTTACCCGTTCATAATTTCCTCCAATGTGTTGGTGTAGTAGTCACCCTTTTATGGGCGTTTTTGAGCTCAAATAGAAAGAGTTCGCTTAGCCGTCTGTGAATTTCCTGGCGAGATCACTTATAAATATACCAGATGATCTCAGTTGCCAGATCTTCCCTTCAAACAAGTCACCATGATCTACCACATTCCAACAAGCAAACATCGACCTTTCAAAGTCATTCAGCTAGTTAGCTAGGGCAAGAACTTAGTTTGTAGTGTTCAATCACATCCATTAGACTAGACAATTTAGATATTCAGAGACTTTGATCATCCTGGAGATCTTAAAGTTCATATCTTAAGGTCCAATCCTTTTCCATAATTTGTTATTTGAAGACTCTTAATATCTCAAGGTCCGAACCAGTCCGGTCCAATCGAGAACTATATAGATAGGTCCAGTCCGGACGACGACGACTTGATCCTTGATCCTCTTGACTCATTGGCCAATCCTATCTTGATGATCTCAAGATGTTCCTCTTGATTTCTCTTGATACTCTTGAATGCACGTAATTGGTAATTCAGAGCATGTCTAGTCACAGGCAACCGCCTTCGACGCACAGAGTGCACAGGCTCCGACGACTCGCCCATCGACGGGGAACGCGGCTTGGGCCCGATCGACCGGGGGGGACCGGTGGAGCAAGGTCCTCCGGGGCGCGTCGGGTTCGCCGTGGGGACGCCCGTTTGGATGCCGTTTGGATGGGAGCATGTGGGAGCAGATGGGTTTTTTGGATGGATATGGGAGCTGGAAAGAGAGCTACAGGGAGGTTTTAATCACATTCATGAGGCGAATGGCCGTGGTGCATGAACAGGGACTCCTGACCACTGGTTGACCCTGAGTGAATCAATCCAAACCAAGGCTCATAAGATCCAATACCAAGGAGAGCCTGGCTGAAATTTGAATGGTTCATCCAAGATTACGATGTCTGTCTCAGCATTTGATGAGTCAAACCATTGAATGGTGGCATTTGAAGCTTCGTGTGATGAAACTGAGGATTAATCAGTGGACCACATCCATCATCCATCCAAACACTTGATTGGTGGCTCTCCCTGAACATCATCCATTCAATCATCATCCATCAGTCTCTCTTTGAACAGGTTCTTTCCATATCCACGTGGTCACCTTTCTTCGCTCCATTGGTCAGCAAGGTGTCGATCTGAAACGCTGGCCGCAGTTTGCGAAGGCGCACTGGAGGAACACGACCATCGAAGCTGAACTGGCAGATTTATGGCGCGTGTGTGCGGTTTGCACAGGGATGCTGTTCCAGCACACCTGTTTCGTATTTTGGGGGACCTTGAGGGGGTGCTACTCAATCGAATCAACTTGTGTTAGTTTTTGGACGCCTGACCGTGCACCGACAGATGATCCTTGCTGACCGACGGGTGTGGACGTCGCTTCAGCGAGACGGGCACCGGGGCTGACGGGCACCGGGGCTGTGGACGTTGGCTGAACGAAACGGTCCGCCGGCTGGAAAGATCTAGATAAGTGTATTCCTAATGATCAGGTCTACTACCCACTATCCGGTCCTATCTCAGATGAATCCAAAGTTAATACATAGCCTAAACCACCAAGCATGTTCCAGGATCGCTCTAAGGTGTCAGTCAAGAGAAAGTTCCTTTCAAGACATACTCTGAACATGTGAGAACATGTCAAAGACCCTTAACCCAACTGTTTGACCTTTGGAGACTTGGTTCATCTTCGTTCAATTGTGTTTTTTTCCCTGTTTGATGGAGAGCAGACAAGGGTGAACTGCTAACAATTAGAGTGGACACTGAAATCCATTTTCCCTTCCACACATGAACCTTCCTTCCAGGCCAGCCATTGTGCGACTAAGGAAAAGGGTGATTGCCTCTATTTACCTGCGCACTTGTTACACTACGTCAGATCGTGGAAGCTTGGCTCGCAACCATTGTATGAATCTTAATTTGATCATCCGTGTTTTTTGTTTAAGGTTACTGTAGCAAAATTGCAAGATGTATTTGATATTCTGTTGCGCATGTTGCGCAACATTGAGCCCCGCCCGATCCCACCGCTTCCTCTTAAACACGGGTGGTGAAAAGCATGCATCTCGAGCCACGTCTTTTCCCATGAGGAGTGACGATGCAGATGACCCACGGATTATCGCCCTGATGACCATGTGGCTGCCTCAGCACTGCCGAAATCGGCCTTCCATGTGCCATGGTGTTTACAGAAACCAAGGGTACCACAACAGCACCTTAAGCTCCATAAATGAACCTCATGGGAGTGGTTTGTTTCCCCTGCATAAACCATGTTACTGGCCTTTGAATGAAGACCCTATAGATTTCACCGGTGTTTGTTCATTCAACCACCCAACTTTCAAACGCAGAAACGCCAGACAAATGGGGCGTCAGACTCTCAAGACCATAGCAATAGAAAAAGATGGTATAGCTGAAATAGGCTCCTTTGGAAAGTCGTTGACTTGTAAACTGCTTTCCTTTGGATGCCTAAGGTGGGTCTTTCCTCTCCTAGTTAGTTGCGACGGACACAAGTAGGAGAGGAAAGTGCAGTCATCTAGATTAGATGACATACCGTCAAGACATTCTACATTTAATTGCAATGTTCCATGTTCAATCCATTCTGGTGGGTCCACTCAAGATTGACTACAAACTCAACAAACGAATTGTTTTGGGCTGCACCTCCAGTGTTCCCGCTCGTTGGTGTGTTTGTTAATGTTCGACCCCGGCTCGTTCTCCAAGAAAAGTTCTATTCATGTTTCTCGAGTAACCTAGTAGAGGACTTTCGTGACAGCTCCAAGACAGCTCTCTTCCATCATGATCATATTTTTCAACCTCTTGTTGTTTTGTATCCCTTTCCGAAACTCGACCCAGAAAAGACACCGTCACGGGCAGTGTTGACCCGGGGATTCTCATCTTGCTTTCCATGCAAACGGGCACGGAATCCCTTGTGAATCCCACTCAGTAGAAACCTGGTGGGCCAAAAACCGGCCGAGTGACCGAAATGCAGGTTCCAGAGCGAAGTGCGCTATGAGCCCAGCAACTGCATCGATGCACCGGAGAAGGTCTTTCTGAGCCACTCGGCCGCCAGGGCCCGAGGGGTTCTGCAGCGCCCTCCTGCGATGCCCGGGTGGATACTTCTTGGAGCGGGCGTGTGCTGCGGGTGCTTTGTATCCATTGTAAAACAAGTTATGCAAACACATCGATCGTCACACTTGTACCTCCAAGTTTTCGTGCTGATTCTGCTAGGATGAAGTGAGTGTACGTTCTTGCTTTTGTGTATATGTTGTTTCTTTTTTTCCGCAGGGTCCCTTCTTCCTGAAATTACTTCTGTGAGTGAGCAATTCATGGAAATCTGTCACCCTTTCGTTGGAAATCAGCTACTATCGCTCCTACTGCTTAGGTCTTCGGTTTGAGCGCAGTTCATGAGACCTTCCAGTTGGATCCCCCTGACCAGAAGGGAAATAGACCATTCTATGCTTGGAGGTCCCTCTATTCAAGTACACACCCATGTTGCAGCTGAGTTGCTTTTGAAGAACATCATCGCCAATGAGTGAGGAACAATGCTCGTTCGATTCACCCGAAGGTGACGTGATGCGACGTAGGCTAGAAATGGGTAGGATCTTTAGGGAGTTCGAGGCTTGTCATCCCCAAACAACGATGGATGAACATGTTTTATAGAAGATGTTTATATCCTCAGAAGGTATGACTGGACCCCCTAATCCCGCCCCAGTCCCACTCACTTTCGAAATGAAGGAAACGACTGGAGCCCTTACTAGGGGTTACTCCTTTTAGACATTCTTCACGGCTTTTGGACCTGCCACTGCCACAGATGTTCGGGTGCCCCGGAACGGCGCTCCGGCCGGATACGACCTCGTTGCGTACGCACGCTGCTGCATTTCGTCAGGCGAGTACGACGTCCTGTGGGGCGAATTCCCTGGAAGTTTGGAGGTGCCGCGGTGCATGAACCACGTGAAGCCGCTTGGGCGAAGGAGGGCGGCCAGGAGTGAGGGCGCTCGTTTCAGAGCGATGCAAGTCCCAAAAATGTCCAACTGTGGCCAACATTGTCCAACTGGTTCGTTCGGGAAGTATACGTGGTTACTATAAACGAGAAAGAGTGTACAGTGGTGTATGCAGTATATGTATATATAGTCTATATAGATCTCAAAAAGAGGCGGACAAAAATAAGAAAACCTGGCACCTGGAATCCCCAGCTTTGCATCGGTCTCAGCAGTCCCATGGTCTGGGGATTGGCGCCGTGGAGCCATGGTTTTAAGGGCCCGTCCCGACGAGCGTTTGAAGCTGCAAGCGTTCGAGACGGTCAGGGCCGAGAGGGGGGGCCACGAGGTTTCTAAGGGACAATTTCTCTCCCTGGGCACTCTTCTTATTGTTGGGTGGTGTTCCAAGCTATTTACACTATACTTAAACTCACTTAGGTTGATGGTTCATGTTTTTCTTATTTGCGGTTTCAAAACGATGGCACCACGTCATCAGGTGATCGACAGGCTTATCTATGACTATAGTTGCCCAGACGTCACTGCTAAGCTTAGACTATATGATCATAGGGAGCCCCCAAACGCAGGGTGTTTGGTGTATTTCCGCTCTTCCAAGGGTCCAACTGGGAGATCCCGAGATCCCCCTATTTTAATACACACCCATCATATAACTAACAGTGCTAGCTAGAACGTCGTTTTAAGTCTAGTTTGGGCTTCGCTTTCATCTCGCAGGGACTTGGCATGACCTAGCTAGTCGTGTGAAAGTTCAGTTTGCTTGAAATACTCTACGACTCGACCTTCCTTTAAGTGAGAGTCAGCTCAGCCAAGTCAGCTAAGTCAACTGCAGTACTTAACCAGGCCTCATTGGGGTGTCCAAGTTCCACCAGAACCTCTATAGAGGTACCTTAAAACATGACAACTTCTATGAACGTAAGGGCAAGTGACCGTTGGATGCAGGAGGTCCCGCACGTCGTTGCGCTTCTTCAGTTGTTGTTGTAGTTGTCGTTGTTGTCCAGCACTGGATGGATGTTTAGACCAATATAAATAATATATAGATGATATCGTGTCATTCACCAGTGCATATGTTGGTTGGTGGCCTGGTTGTAGGAAGCCATTGGTCAGTGGCCGTGCTTCTATTTTGAAACAGCCCAGTGTTGGCCAAAGTTCACTTTTGCTGTTTTTTTTCCTTATAGTCTGTTGCTACTGGTCATGTGTATTGACTCTACCAAAGGGACAAATACGCTGCCAGCTTCGTGTGAACCCTGTTTTGCCCAGGAAACTGTACGGACCCACCAGGTGCCGTAACGTCGCCGGGGAACATCGGCGAGGGACGTGGTGTGAGTGACGTGGTCCGTGTCGTGGTGACCCGGTTTGCACCTGACCCGAGGTGAACCCCTCCTCTCGCACCCGACTGGGGAACCTGTGATTTGGGCTGTGACGGATGGACGGATGTCGGCACACACTGAGTGCCAGATTGCTCCGGCATCGCACCACTCAGGATGGGCTACCCCAACTGGCAGCTTGGCTTCGACGCATCGGCGGGCGAGTTGGGTTATTCTGATGCAGAGATGGAAGAAAGGCAGTTTCAGGGCAACATCTCTGCAGGTTTTTGACGATGTTCATAGACTGTTAGTGTTGTTTTGTTTTTTTGTGGATGGCTTTGATAACCACTTTTGACATAATGAATTCACATTGGCTTTTGTGTATGTGTAGTCATGAGTGTTGCAGATGCCCTGGACGGCAACTTCCGTGCATCCTGTAGTTGGAATGGTCAGTCCTTCTACCGGTTCTCTGGTGTTTCTCAGTCCCTGAAGACCACCGAAGGGCTCAACACATCAGCGCATCATAGCAAGGGATTTGTGGACACCTTCCAAGGGCACAGTCCCCCAACAAAAACACGGCTAAGGCGGCTAATTAAGGCATTGCATCCGGGGATGATGGAATCTGAATGATGCTGTTGTGGGCATTGTTGGTTCCAACAGTTTTGTTATGCATCACCAAGCTGTCGACTTGGCTCCTTTGAGCAGTTCCATCTGCTGGCCCCACAACCTAAAGAGGTGGAAGCTGCTGTGCAAACAATCGCACACCAAGTCAAAGAACAAGAATATAATCAACACGGGTCTAGGCTGACATACAGTCTCAATATTAACATGTTTTTAATATAGCGTGTTTCCACCAAAGGACTTGCTGGCCTTGGATTTGGCTGCCCATCAATTGGCACGCCATCAATGCGGATATTGGGGCTTTGCAACCTCTGTTTGGACGTAGCAAATGGCGTCCTGGGGTTGGTCGGAAACTGAGGAAGCGGACCTTGGCCTCGATGGCCAAAAAGGAAGTGAGTCCGAAGCTCAGAGGGGTTGGATTGGAATTTCCAGGATTGAGGAGTGGGTGGATGGAGGTGGATGGTCAAAAGTTGTTGATTTTTTGGTGGATGTCACTCCCTCTTTCAGTGCCATGTTGCAAGCAAAACGTAGGTGAGTGTCCTCATGAGCGGTCGTGTGCAGTCTGTCAAGTAGATGATGTGACGGTGTTGACAATAGAATATGTGATATATGATAACTTAAATTAACTTAAGCTAATTGATTATGTGCCTTTTATTTGTTTCTCAGGACTTCTAAACCCTTGTGCTTTGTGTTTGAGATGCTTTGAGGTTCTCTTTGAGGTCTGGTGCTTTCTCGCACTGTTATGGGTCCACAGATTTCGGAAAGCCTCGTCCTTTGGTCGGAGCAGTCTGACTCCACGGGTGGTCAAGGGGATCCGCGCTTTGTAAATCACCGGTGGTTCGAACGGTACTCACCAAGAATGTCAATCAACAAAACTAAGCCGGGGACTTGGGGACCCGATCATGTCCTTTCTGGTGAAAGGTAGTGGGATCTAGTGGAGGTCACTATATAGCAACTATATATATTATACGTTGGGTTTCCTTTGCTGGAGGCACACAATTCCAGAACATGCTTCCCAGGTGGATCCAATTCTTTGTGGTTTGATTCTGTTTGATACGCATTCCGTAGTTATGCTTACTTGTAACGTGCTTTGCAGCACAGAACCCCCGAAGAGATCCAACGAGATCGGTTGGCGTCGGACGGAGGGATTCGCCCCGGCTCCCTCGGTCGCCCAGCGCCGAGGCGTCAAGAGCTTTACAAAGTTCTGGGGCCGTGAAGGCTATCCATCCAAGCTCATCAAGGCCGATCTGTGAAACATCGAAACAGAGTAGAGAAAGCATCAAGAAGAAGCTTTTCCCTTGCCCACCGTGCCACAAAGGGACTTTTGGTGCATTACAGCAATAATTGCATTCAAGTCTTGATGCAAAGTATATATTTGCATCAAATTCAAAACAATTCATCACACGCGGTTTCCGGATGTTTCTGCGTAAGGATTCTTGCTCATCAAGGATGATTTCGTGCGTTTCTGAGGATCCCATGATCTGGAACTCTTGAACCTTTTGATGGTAAACGAGTTTGGACTTGACCCGCACAACACAGCAATGAGATAAACACTTCCAATAGCCGCCCCCTTCTAATCAGTGGTCCTTCCGTGCTCAGCTCTGACCAACGTGGAGCCTCATTTGCTTCTTTGCTCATGATCAGCTATCACATGGGCACGTCCCTATAGTTCTATAGTGTTATATAATGTTATATAATATATATATACGTACTATACCAATGTTTATCCTTTTTGATTCTCACCACTGCAGCAACGTACAAGTATATAAACACAAAAAAAAACTCCATAATACCACTATATGATGTTTTACAAGAATACCACTATACTCCGCCAAACCCACTGGCAGCCTCTCTCCTGGCACCGGTTGATCCCGACGGGCCGGCGGCATGACTCTCCTGGTCGGTGCGTCCAGTCGGTGACGTCGCCAGGCAGCCTGGAAGCGCTTCCAGCAGGAACAGCAGGGCTTTCCAGCGACGATGACCTGGGCCGAGAAGGCGCGACGGACGGACGGACACGGAGCGGGGACGGGCGGAGCGTTCGCGCGTTTTTTTGTGTTTTCACGATCACTTCAATTTCGGTACTTGTTATATGGAGAAATTAGACTGACTTGCGGTGTCTCGCCAACTGAGCAAGCGTGCATCTCCAGGTCTTTAATAGCACGGCTTTGGCCAATCTGGCGAAGGCAGCTTGGCAGCAGAGTGATGGTGTTGAAGCTGCAGGGTCGGTAGCAGGATTCCAGTGAGGTGTTTTTTTTGATATTAGTGTTGCGCAAAACCACGCATTTTTGGCAGTTCCTCTCTTCTACGGTGATATTTATCACGTATACTTTTTCCTGAGGACATAAGTCTTGGTGAAGATTATATCAGTGTTGGTTTATCGCTCTAGCTCTGCATCTCTACATGTGTTGAACTGTTTGTTTTCTGTGCGTGTGTCTATTTATTTTGCTCTTGCAAGCCTACCTATTTGTTATTTGCGTGTTTATCTAGATCATCTAGATTTTGCTGTCTATCTATTTATCTATCCATTGACCTATTTGTTGATGTTTCTTTCAGTCTATCAACCTTTTTGAGCACATGATTCATGAATATATACATATATAAAATATACATACACGCCTTTCAGAATCTGTTTCATCTAGCTAGCATAGGTCCTGGTAAGTATACATATGATGCAAGGACATATGTCCTGGTAAAGAAACATGCGTTACAATGATATGGGACCTGCAGGTGCAAATATGTCCTGGTAGGCACACAGATTTTAGTATGAAGATAGTTGTGGATGTGTACAAATGCATGTGTGTTCATGCCTAATTAAATGGTTTTTTTTTTGCCTTATATCCTCGACTTACAGGAAAAACATCAGATATTTGTACACATCAGTGTGTCCACATCTCAACTGTTAACGTTAGGGAAATCCAAGGACGATTAATCCAACAACCAAGACAAAAATACTTACAACTAGCATATGGCCATCACTGTTCTCTGGACAGAAGTCCAGGTGATCTTTGACCAACACTACATACGTTTGAGACGTGCCCCAACAACTGTCTTGGTAGGGCACCATGAGCACGCCTCCTCCACAATTGCTACCTAATAGTTCACAAGTCAAACGTCACTGCTCACAGTTTCACCATGTAACGTCACTGCTCACAACAGAGCCCAAGCGGCA